CTATGCTACCAGAGCTCCTGTCAGCTCTACTATATACCTGGAAATTCTTACAGAACATACAAGTATGCACTTGCAGAAACACTGTCTGCCAACCGTACATGGTCATGAGCACACTCCCCCCTGCATAGATGTACGTAATTGTTCAGCCTGTCCACGCATCTATCCACCAGTATACCAGTGTTTGCTGAGGCAGTAAATATGGAAGCAGATTGCCCCATTTTCCTTGGCAGCTGGTGGGTTTGAACTGCCAACCTTCTGATTAGCAGTCAAATACCTTAGGTACTGCACCCATGACCCCAGGAGCATAAAATAGAGGGTTGAGGAAGCGGAATGTCTCCCCTGAACTCCCCCTGCCTAGCCCATTTGAGCCACATGACTGTAGAAATAAAACTTCAGGTCCCATGCATTTTCAGGGCAAGGCCACGGTCCCCTGTGGTCACCAGGGCCAGACCAGGGTGAGGAGACTTAGGGACATTTAAGGGGTGCAAAACACTTTGTTATCAGGACACATAATGTCTGCTTGCACATTTTTAAAAAACAATCTAAAAACTGCAAAATGCCTGTGATGAACAGAGTGTCAGTATGTTTGTTGAAGACAGCCTCGGTGTTGCTAGTTTCTCCTTTTGCCTGAGGATCCAACGCCACCCAGCTCAGGTCTGTCTTGGATCTTGTCTTTATTTGAAATTTCATTTATTGTGGGTTTTTAAAAAATTTTATTTTTCAAACTAAGTGCATTTTAGTATTATTTTCAGATAGCTGAGTTTTTGTGCCCAGGCGCTGTCTCCCCCAGCTCAACCCAAGCACCAGCGCTAATTAAGAACCTGCAAGGTGTGAGGTGGGGGGCGGGGACGACGACCTGCTAAAGAAAAAAAGGGGACAGAAACTGGGAGGGGCTGTGCGTGGTCAGCACCGGGGCCAGTGACCTCCTTTAGGCCCAAGCGCCAACCCCGCAGGCGGGAGAGGCTGTTACTTAGCCCCATTTTTCATGTACAGGAACTGAGGCTCGCCAGGAGCTGCTTGCGCAGTTCCTCAGCCAACAGGTGCACCGCTAGGCTCTGAGCCTGGGCGGCCTGCAGCGGGAGTGGAGCAGAGGGGCGACGGGGAGAGTGCCGTGGGCTAAGGAGCCGTGCTGGCGGGAGGCAGGTGCCGCCGAGGCCCCTCCAAGGCCGCCCTGGCTGGCGGCGCGCCCCCGCCCTCGCGTGTTCATTCATCCAGGGCCTGCTGAGTCACGCTTATGAAAGTGGCTGCACAGCCCCGCCCGCCGCCTCTCGGTGAAATACCCTCGCTTCCCCCTCGCCGCTCAGTGCCTCTCGGCTCCCCACGGGCGACGGGCGTCCTGCTCCCGCAGCGGCGCCGCGACTCCCACACGCGGTGCCCACCCGGCCAGGCCCCCGGCTCCCTCCACCCGCTACCCCAGGTAAGTGTCCCCGGCCCGGCCAGGGGGCGGGGGCCGCGTCCCCGCAGGGGGCGCCAGCTGGGGCCAGGTTTGCAGGCCCCGGAGCCGGGCGGAACCCCTAGTGGTTCCCGAGGTCCCCGGGCGCCCCCACCCAGCGCTGCCCGCGTCTCCCCCTGCCAGGCTCACTCCTAGGCGTCGGACGCCCCCGCCCTGTAGCTGCCGGCCTGCCCACCTGCCGGGCCAGGCTCGGCCCCACGTGATCTCCAGGCCACGTGACGCGCTGCGGGCGGGAAGGAGGCGTGGCCGCTGGCGCTCTGCGGAGCCCGCTGGGTCCTACCGCCCGGCAGACAGAGGCTACTGTGTCCACTTCCAGCTCTTTAAGGGGACCTCAGGGACCGGGCATGCCACGGCACGTTCAGGGGTGGAGGGCTGGGGGCCCAGAGAGATCCCTGGGCTCCAGTGGGGTCTCTGGGAGGAGATGGTTCGGGGGCGGGGAACTGGAGGGCAGTGCACTTACTGGCTGGGGCTAGGCCCTGCGACCCCAGGTTTACAGCCCCGTCCCCTCCGTGACCGGCTGGCGTGGTGTTCCCCGGTGTCACTGCGATCGATCTCATACCGAGAGGTCTGGGGACTTGGCCAGGGTCGCACGGGTATGGGGTGGGACTAGGATTTGTGCTCACGGTGGGGACTCAGGCGTTCCCGGCGGCCCGGGGCAGGGCACCCCACTGCTCACCTCGGGTTTTCCTGTGTGCGCAGTGGCACAAGGAAACCCATCTCGCAGGGCAGCCCTCGACAGCAGATGGTCCGCGGGCCAGTCCCGCCTGGCTGCAGCTGGAAGCTCTGATGGCCTGGGGGCCACAGCCGTTCGCGGGACACCACGCCAAGGTGTCCTTGTGTCCATTTCGTTAATGCCCACTTGGTTTTGTGAATTTCAAGTCGTCAATTGGCAATTTGAACTTATTTTCAGTAACATTTGCCGTTATCAATCAGAGGGACTTCAGAAGTTAACATTAAAAATGGATGATTTCAAGTTCATATATTGTAAAAGTGGGGAAAAAAGAAAAAGTCCTGTTATTTTCTGTGCGCTTGCAGCGGGTTTACTCAGGGGCTGAAGGTGTCGGGGATCAGGGCCTCTGGGCAGCTTTTCCAAACAGGAAGTGACCACTAGGTTGGCTGGACGGTGACCTCATGACTGTGGCATCCCAGTGGTGTGGGGCAGGAGCAGCAGACTTGGGGTCCAGAAGTCCTGCCTGTGAGGCAGATCCTGCACTTCCCTCGGGGGTGAAGGGGGCAAGCAGTGTGGACTCCTCGTCCATCCCTGGGGCTACCACAAGTCCCCCCTCGGGACCAGGCAGTGGAGAACACCAAGGGACAGGGAGGGGAAGGGCATGGCCAGGTGGGGGTGGAGGGGGAGGTGGTGTCCAGGTTCTGTGTATGGCTGTGGGCTCAGCCTTCAGGGATCGGATCCTGGCTCTGCAGCCTTGGGAAGTGACGTCATCTCCCTCAGCCTCAGTCTCCCCACCTGTAAGGTGGGAGGAAGAGCCCCCTGCGCAGGGGCATTGAAGGAGAAGGAGACAGCAGGTGGGTGGCACTGAGCAAGGATGCCCTGTGTCCCCCCTGCCGCCCTCAGACCCGAGACAGCACAGATGTGGAGCAGAGGCCCTTGGCGGGATGCCAGGACGGTGCGGCCCGGGAACTGTCACCCCAGTCGCTAGGGCAGCCGGGCTGGCCAGCACTCGTCAGTGAGAGACTGGGTGGGCTGGGATTGTCAGTTACCGGCTGGGTCCAGGCTGCTGGGTGACCCAGGACAAGCCTGACCTGAAGGGGCCATTGGCTCCCGGGGCACAGAGAGGCAGGCCCCTGGGCTCCCATCCAGCGTGGGCAAACTCCTGGAAGAGTGTAAAGGCTGCGGGGAGCCCTCTGGGCCTCTATGGGAGCACGTGTAAGAGCACTGAGAGCAGCCCGACTGAATCAGGACTCCGTGACCTGCCATGCCCAGAGTGCCTAGAACGTGCCAGGCACACGGCAAACTCGGTCACATGGGCAGGTGTTTATTATTATTATTATTATTATTATTATTGGTGGTGATGATGTCACTCCCAAACTCTCAATCAGGCAGACAGCACAGGGCCCTGAAGAAAACAGGGCATGGAGAAGGTCACGCGGTTCTTACCGTCTCCCCCAGGAGACAGGATAGTGGGGACAGGGGGCTGACCTGGCCAGGCAAGGGAGGCTGTTCACAGGGCATGAGAGAGCGCCCCCCAAGGAAGTCCGGGCCCCTGGGTTCCCCCTCCCCCACTACAGTGGGACACTGGGCACGTCCTTCACCCCTGAGCTTCCTCCTCCTCACCTCACCTCTCAGTGTTGGCAAGAGGACCAAACACTGTCACTTAGGTGCAGGCACCTTGCAGACTGTAAAGTGCCGTGTGAGGTCAGCCTGGCCGCCGTGGACCTGGGCTTGCTGCCCCTCTGCTCACAGCACAGCTCCCACGCGCACCTGGGCCCTGCCGTGGCCCCTGCTTGAGGTTTTCCACCACTGTCACTCGGTTGCCCACTGTCCCAAACCAGAGCTCACACGACAGTGCAGCTGTGTGCCTGCTCTGGGGGAATTCTCCCGGCCCTGCACCCACTCACCTCAGCCTCCTTCTCGGGAGCCCGTGACCCTGGGTCCCCTTGCAGTGACAGGTGACAACGCAAAGGTCACAGGCACCCGTCAGCCTCAGGTCAAAGTGCCAGCCTTGTGACACTGAGCCACCCGTAGGACCTCTTTAAGCTCCAGTGTCCGCCCCTGAGAAATGGGATGATAGCATTGATGGTGCTTACCCCCAGGGTCAGTGTGAGGAGGACGTCCCCCACACACGCGCATGGCTGCTGTCAGCTGGGTTTGGCAGAGTGGACCTCAGCACTCCCAGGCCCCTGCAGCCCTGAGAAACCATGTTTGGGTGCCTTTGAATGATTTGGTTGATGGCCAGCAGGGGGCGTTTGTGCTCCAGAGAACTGCAGGCTTACAGCTCTTGGCTTCAACCAAGGAACTCCAGCTTCCAAAGTTTCCATGGAAACAGCCCTGTTCTTTTCCCAGTCGCTGATTTTTCCCTGGCAGGTGCTTCATATCGGTTATTTCCCTGTGTCCCCCAAAAACACCCACGAGGAAGGCTATCACTGTCCTCACTCTCCCGTTGAGGAAACAGCCCCAGATGACCAGGAATGGGCCAAGGTCACCCTGTTGGGAAGCAGCTTGCCAGGCTCAGGTTATGGCTCCAAAGTCCACAGGCAACATCGCTGGACCATGGGAGGACTGGGCAGGGCTTGTCCCTGGGTGGGGCAGTGTTGGCCTTTGGGAAGACAGATAAGGAGGGGCAGGTGTGGTTACTGCCCCGGGGTCAGTGGGCAGTGAGGCTCAGAGGTTGCCTGGTGACCAGGCTGGGAGAGAGGAGAGGGTATGCTGGGGCCTCGGAGACAGGCCTGTATGGAGAAGGGAGAAGGGGAGTCCGTATTCCTTCAGCTGGGACTTTGGGCTCCACTCTGAGTCCTCAGAAGTGACACCCACACCTGACCTGTGCTTCCAGGTCAGCTGGCAGCACTGAGGCCCCCACGAGCCGCAGACATGGACTCTTCAGGGAAGGACCACCTTGGTGCCAGCAGCTCGGAGCCCCTCACGGCCATCATCATCGGTGAGTGGGGTACACAGGGCAGGGGTGGGACCAGCACTGAGCACCAGGGTACCCTCGGAAGTCTGCAGTCAGGAGCTGGGCACACGCTCAGCCAGTGAGTGTTTATTGTGTGGCTGGTGCCATGCTTAGCGATTTATAAGATATCCCATTGGATCCTCTCAAGAACCCACGAGGCGTCTACCCCAGCCACGGCCTCATCCACTCTGAGACCAGAAGAACTAGATGGTGCCTGGCTACCACTGATAACCTCTCTGATCAGGGCCACAGTAAATGGATCCACAATCAGTAGGAGAAAATGTGAGACAGAATTGGAGTTCTTAAAGACTTACTGGCCTGGTTAAGAGGAGAGGCCTCCTGGAGACCGTTGCCCTGGGATACTCTTTAACCCTGGAACGGAAAGTACCTGAGGTCCCCTGTTAGCAGATTGGCTCATGACGTGAGGGATAGTCCTCATGGGACTCATGACGGGAAGGATAGCACACCTTTGAGAGAAGCCTGTCTATGCGACGCAATAGGCAGGAGCTCCTCTCAGACCAAGAGGAGAGGTAAGGGCAGGGGAACCAGATGGCTGGGAGCGAAGCATCGAATGAAATGAATGAGAATGTTGGCACGTTGTGGAAAATGTAACCATTGTCACGGGGCATGTGTGTAGTCGCTGTTCAATGGCAACCTAATGTGCCATGTAAATTTCCATAATAAAAACATAATAAAATGTTATTCTAAAAAAAGAACCCGTGAGGCAAGAGCAGCAGAGTCAGCCAGCAGGCTCGAGGACAGGACTGCTCCCTAAGCCTGCACACTCCAGCTCTCGCTGCACCGCCCAGTGCGGTGGCCACAGCCACGGCCACGTGTGGTGGCCAAGCACATGAAACGAGGCCGGTCCACTCTGAGTTGTGCTAGAAGCGTACAGATGTTGTTTGTTGCCTTCGACTCCGACTCCTGCTGAGCCTTCGTGTGCAGAGGGGAACTGCTGCCCAGGGATTTCAGGGCCGTGGTCTTTCAGAAGCAAAGGAGCCGTCCTCTGTGGTCCCCTGGATGGGCTGGAACCACCAACCTTTCAGACAGCGCTCAAGCACTTCACTGAGAGACCCCTAAAGTGTAAAGTACACACACTGCAATTCAGACGCTTGATATGAACATAAGAGTTAAAGTATTTTGTTGATACTGTTCTTATTGCACGTTGAAATGATAACCTTTTGGACATACTGGGTTTAAAATTCTATTATTAAAACTGATTTCACCAGTTTCCTTTACATTTTCTAACGTGACTACTCAAAAAACAAGAAAGAAACAAACCTCTCTGCCATCCGGCTGATTCCTACTCACAGCTACCCCAGTGGGTCTCCGAGGCTGCAAATCTTTACAGCAGACTGCCCTGTCTCCTTTCCTCAGAGCAGCTGGTGGGTTTGAAATGCTGACCTTCTGATTAGCAGTCCACTGCCTTAACCACTGTTGTTGTTGTTATGTGCCGTCGAGTCGGCCCCGACTCATAGCGACCCCTCCTTGGGTTTCCGAGGCAGTATCACTACGGAAGTAGGATTGCCCAACCTTCCTTCCGAGGAGTGGCTGGTGGGTTTGAACCTTAACCACTACGCATCATATATGTATGTGGCTCACAAGGGCTCTGGTGGCACAGTGGTTATGGCACTGGACTGCTAATCAAAAGGTCCGTGGTTTGAACCCAGCAGCTGCTCCGTGGGAGAAAGATGAGGCAGTCTGCCTCCGTGTTGTTATTCTTATGTGCTGTCGAGTCGGCCCTGACTCATAGTGACCCCTCCTTGGGTTTCCGAGGTGGTATCTCTACGGAAGTAGATTGCCCAACCTGGTGTGGCTGGTGGCTTTGAACCGCCAGCCTTCTGGTTAGCAGTCAAGTCCCTTAGGCACTATGCTACCAGAGCTCCTAGTCTGCCTTCCTAATGATTCCCAACCTTGGAAACCCTATGAGGCAGCTCTGCCTTGTCCTGTGGGGTCGCTGTGGGGTTGGAATGGAGTTGATGGCAGTGGGTTTGGTTTTCTAGGGCTCACGTGGGGCCTGGTCCAGGTAGTCAGCTGTTGGTTTATTATTATTTTTATTAACATCACTTGGCACAATATTTGACACCTTAACTCATCTCAACTCACCACCCTGGAGTCTTTGGTTTCTGAGGCAGTATCTCTACGGAAGTAGATTGCCCAACCTTCCTTCTGAGGAGTGGCTGGTGGGTCTGAACCGCCAGCCTTCTGGCTAGCAGTCAAATGACTTAGGCACTATGCCACCAGAGCTCCCCCCAGCAACCTAGGTGTTGCTATTGGGTGCCTAGGTCAATTCCGACTCACCACCACCCACGTGACAGCAACCTGTCCCGCAAGGTTCTCTGAGCTGTAATCTTTACCGGGTGGGTCACCAAGTCTTTCTCCCACAGAGCCACTGGGTGGGTTTGAACTGCCAGCCTTTTGGTTAGCACCTGAACGCCTGGCCTGTGCGCCCCAGAGCGTCTTTGACTCACAGTAAGCACCCAGTAATGTGAGTTGTTGTTACCGTGACTTTATTACTGTTCTTTGCTCTCAGTACAGTGCCTGGCGCGCAGTGAACGCCCAGCCGCGCGTGCCTTTTCTGTTGATTGTTTATGCTCGGCGCCTGGCAGTGGTGCAGGCTGGCGGTGCATCTCTTTATTTGTATAAGTGAAGGGTAAAGGAATAGCAAGTCAGGTCCTGCCCAGAGTCCTGGGCAGAGGTCTCTGTGGTGTAAAAACGCTGCCTTCCGCCCCTGCGCACAGGCTGACCCTGCCCTCTCCCTCCTCCCGCCCCCGCAGGCAATGGCCCCTCGGGCATCTGCTTGTCCTACCTGCTCTCAGGTTACACCCCCTACGTGAAGCCGGGCGCCGTCCACCCACACCCTCTGCTGCAGAGGAAGCTCAACGAGGCACCGGGGGTCTCCATCCTGGACCAGGTGGGTCACCCCCTGGGAGAACGGAGAATGCAGGCAATAAGGCCACACACGGGACTTGAGAAACCACGGACCGGCTGCGGAAACAGTCAGAGGGAAGGTGGGCTGCCCTTTGCCGCCTCCCGCTGCCACGCCAGCTTGCCTCACCACCCAGAGCATCGTGGCTGTGCTTCTGCGGTCCCCTCTCCGAGTGTGAATCCTTCCTCTGCTCCTTGCCAGCTGGGTGACCATGGGGGTGTTACTTAACCTCTCTGTGCCCGTTTCCTCAAGTATAAGAGGAGAAGAAGAGCAGCATTTTCCTCGCTGAGGTTGTTGGGAGTGCTCGATAAGATACATGTCTGTCCCCGGGGGACAGTCGGCAATGGCTGGAGACATTTTTGGTTGTCACAGCTGCGTGGAGGGTGCTTCTGGCATCTAGTGGGTAGAGGCCAGTGTCCATGGTGAATGTCCCACAGTGCCTCGGCCTACCTCAGTAGTGCCCAGGTTGAGAAACCCCACCCTACAAATTTTGGTTCCTCTCCTTCGCAGAAGGACCTGGAAACCCACCGTCTACACCCTTTACCCTCCAGGAGGCCACGCCTTGTCCACCTCCCCTGTCTGGCCTCCTCAATCCCTCCACCCCTGAGGTGGCGGGTGAGGGAAGTGGCCTGGCATTTGGTCTCAAGCAGCATGTTCACTGTGCCTCCTGCAGCACGCTGGTTCCTCAGGGTGACACCACAGAAAGTGTTCCCAATGCAGGGGACCTGGGGGATGCCAGGGCATTCGGCAGTGAAACGGGTACAGTGACCACTGCAGGACTTTTCAGAGCCTTTAATGTGCCAATGGGCATCATCTGCTTTTGGGATGACCCTGACGTTCAAGTGGGAATGCAGGGACTGGGTGGTTCCTCGAGTCCCCTTTGGCCCATGGCCGGGGCCTTGGGCTCCTGGAGAGACCCCATAGTGACCGCTCACATCCAGCCCACAGTGTGGCCCCCTCAGCAGGCCCCTGCAGCCTCCGGGAAACAGCCTAGCCCCAGTCCCCATGGCCCTGCCCACCCCTCAGCCCCAGACAACCCACCCACTCTCCCCCGCGGATCTTCTGACCTCCACCCCCCTCCAGGACCTGGATTACCTGTCCGAGGGCCTTGAAGGCCGCTGCCAAAGCCCCGTGCCCCTGCTCTTTGACACCCTCCTGAGGCCAGACACGGACCTGGGAGGAGACATGGAATCCGTGCTCACCTGGAAGCGCCAGACAGAGCGAGTTGTCCCCCATGTGGTCCTGGGCCGCGGCCTGCCTGGGGGTGCCTGGCATGTAAGTGGGGGTGCCACATGTGGGCTTCTGGCCACCTCTCCCCAAACCCTTCCCCTCTCCTTTCCTCCTCCCCCTTCCACCTGCCTGCGCCTCCCTCTCCTCCTCCCCCATGAGCCCCAGGAAAGGCCTCCCCTGCCTTCTTGCCCCCACCTCCCAGTGGATAGTAGAGGTCTGAACCAAAGGCATTCTCTCTCACGCAGTCCATTGAAGGCTCCATGGTGACGCTGAGCCAAGGCCAGTGGATGGGGCTCCCGGACCTGCCGGTCAAGGACTGGATGCGCAAAAAGCGGAGGTAGGCCTGCCCGGAAGCCCCACCATCCTGAGCCAGGAGCCCGAGCTCAAGGGGTCTGGGGCTTATCTTTCCACCCTCCTCATCCTCGAGAGGGGAAACTGAGGCCCAGGCAGGGACAGGATTGCAGGGGTCGTGAGCAGTAGCACCAGGCTCATCTCAAGCCTCCCTGTGAACTGCCGCTTCACCCTGCCACACGACACCCCGTGGCATCCCAGCCTCTAAGGAGGCCCAGCAGAGGCCAACATCCTGACCCAGGTTCCAGGGGCCCCTGCTTTCCCCGCTGCCCTGCCCGCTATGCTGAGCCTGGCCTGGGACAGTGTAGTTCCCTCTAAGTCAGCTGGGAAGAGGGTGTACTTCCTTTAAAAGGAAAAAAAAAGAAAAAAGCTTTTGCACTGAAAACGTAATACTATGGTACAGACAATTGAAGATTGGGAAAAGTAAAACAAGTCATCCCAGCCATCAGCCCCACACCTTGACCTGACACCTCCCTGAGGGCGTTTGCACCCTGCCTTGTTTTCGGGCTCTGTCTGTGACCACACTGCACACCTCGGGCCCCTGGAGAAGCGACTGTAAGGAAATGGGGGCCCTGCTCCCCCTGGGGCGAGGTGCAGAGCTGCCCGAATGAGAAGGTGCTCCCGGCAGACACCTCAGGCTGGCGGCCTCTGCCCTTGTACTGGCAGCCCCTGTTTCCTCTGCCCACCAGGGGCTATGACAGATACCCAGCCTCTCCAGGGTGCCCAGCCTGTTTCCCGGGCACAAAGACTCCTTGTCATTGTAAGTCTCTGACTCAGCGAATTTGGTAGAAGACATTTAGGCTTGTGCAATGATGTTAACAGACCAGGGCTTCTAACTGGTTCAGTCGTTGCTGACCCAGTGAAATCAGAGGAGACCCAGATTTGTAAAATATGGGTATACCAGAACAATCACCAGAAAGGAGAAAATGATGGGTTGAAGGCCTGGATTGGGAGACTCGGGAGAGGCGGAGTGAGTGCTTTTGGGAGCCTGACGCAGGAGACCAGGTTATTGCCAGGACTACAGAGAGTGACACACATTCAAAGCAGCGTGGTCAGCTGCCATCTTTGAGCTGGGCACTGTTGCTTCCAGCTCTGTCAGTCAAGAGTTTTGGTTGCTATGTAACAGACACATTGCTCTTATTTTCTCAGAAGAAGAGTAAGTCTCTAGCACAATGTCAATTATTAATTTTTCCCCTTTCCACATTTTACCAATTTGGCCCTCTTCTAGTTTTACTTCATCGGCCATGACTGAACCAGGAAGAACCAGTTCAAAGGCCTGTAACAGACAGACAGAAATTTCTATTTCAATTGTAAACATACCCTTTTATATCCTACTTTCAAACTTTCACATGGTGATCTCATGAAGCTTGTCACCGTCCTTTTAAATGACTGCCTAACATTCCCCAGGGTGGCCAAGCAGCCACCCATCAGCAGATCTTCCCTGACTCTTCCCGCTGCTGGGCCCTGTGCTCGGCTGTCAGAGCAAACAGACACGATAGACGCACTCCCCGCCCTTGTGGCTCGGCGCCCCTCTTGTAGGTTCTTGACCATTTTTTCATGATTATAAACAACCCCATATGCAACATGTTCCTGGGAGAGATTTTTTAAAAATGAACTTACAGTGAAACAGAGGTTGGGAAAGAACAAACCAACAGGAATGACTTTAATTCAGAGGTCAAGTGTCAGTTATGGATAGGCTGAGGCAGGCGGGCCAGTCTGAGTTCATGCTGCAGCCGTGGCGTTCAGCTAGACACACGACCCTCCATTCTGCGAGTTCATCCTTAGCAACCAGTCCATGATCTAGGTGTGGGCATGGGCCCAAGTCATAACAGATGAAGCAGGACCTGAGATTTCACCAAAGCCTGCAATGTAGCTTCGAGCAACACTGACCCTGCCGCCACTGCCCCAGAAAGGGGGGTGGTGGTTATCACCACCATAAAATGGCCACTGTAGTTAGACAAGGGCCGGGCACTCTGCTAACTGCTTTTTCTATTTTAAAACAAACGTTTGATTGAGTTACAACCTACATATACAAAAGCACACGTCTCATGTGTGTGCAGGTGGATAGGTTTCCTCAAAGGGGATACATCTGTGTTGTGGTGGAATCAAGAAATAGCTCCCCTGTTCCCTTCCAGGCACCACCCCTGTGCCCCCTAGAGGTAGCGCTGCCTTCATCTCTAAGTCCCTTGACTGGCCAGTTGCTGAACGCGGTAACAGTGGGATCTCGCTGCGTGCATGTGCAATAGTATTTAATCCTTTGAGGCGATAATAACAGTGGCACTTTGAGTCTGTGTTAAGCACTTTGTTAGTATCAGCTCCCCTGATCCTCCCAACAATCTCACCACCACCATCATCATTTTATAAGGGAGGGAACTAAGGCGCAGAGCATCTCAGGCACAGAGCTAGCCGACTGCAGAGCCAGGGTTTGAACCAGGGCCTCGGGGTCTGGAGTCTGCCCTCTAAACCCTGCTGGACCTGAGGCAGGGATCTTATCAGCCCCATTCGACAGAAGAGACCGAGACACACACAGGCAGCTTACCCACCTGGCCAGCCCACAGCTGGCGGGTGGTGCAGCCGCTGCCTGGCTCCAGGGCTGACACCACCTGGTCGTCCACCCCGACCCCCAGACCACTCTCTGACACCCCTCCCTCCTGCATCCTTCCCATAGGGGTCTCCGAAACAGCCGGGCCACGGCCGGGGACATTGCTCACTACTACAAGGACTACGTGACCAAGAAGGGTCTGGGACACAACTTTGTGTCAGGCGCCGTGGTCACGGCTGTGGAGTGGGGCACACCCGAGTCTGGAGGCTCTGAGGCCCAGGACCCCAGCCCCCTCTTCCAAGTGAGTGGCTTCCTGACCACCCAGGGCCAGAGCCCGCAGCCCTTCTCCCTGTGCGCCCGCAATGTGGTCCTGGCCACGGGCACGTCTGACAGCCCAGCCCGCCTGGACGTCCCTGGGGAGGCTCTGCCCTTTGTCCACCACGAGCTGTCGGCCCTAGAGGCGGCCACGCGGGCGGGCACCGTGACCCCGGCATCGGACCCTGTGCTCATTGTGGGTGCGGGGCTGTCGGCCGCCGACGCAGTCCTGTACGCCCGACACTACAACGTGCCGGTGATCCACGCTTTCCGGCGGCCTGTGGACGACCCCGGCCTGGTGTTCAACCAGCTGCCCAAGATGCTGTACCCCGAATACCACAAGGTGCACCAGATGATGCGTGAGCAGTCCATCCTGTCGCCCAGCCCCTACGAGGGCTACCTCAGCCTCCCAGAGCACCGGCTGCTGCTGTTCAAGGAGGGCTGCCAGGCACTGTTCCGCGACCCGCAGGGCGGCCAGAAGGTCTTTGGTGTCTCCCTCGTGCTGGTCCTCATCGGGTCCTACCCTGACCTCTCCTTCCTCCCCGGGGAAGGCGCCGACCTCACCGTGGACCCCAGCCAGCCGCTGAATGCCAAAAGGAACCCCATTGACGTGGACCCCTTCACCTACCAGAGCACCCACCAGGAGGGCCTGTATGCCGTGGGGCCGCTGGCCGGGGACAACTTTGTGCGGTTCGTGCAGGGTGGTGCCCTGGCCGTGGCCAGCTCCCTGCTGAGGAAGGAGACCAGGAAGCCGCCCTAGCGGCGGCCATACGTCCTCAGGCCCTGATGGGGAGGGGACATCTCCACAACCCTGCAAAGGCACCCCAGTGAAGGGGGGCTTCTCCTGGCAGGAGACGGGAGGGCCGTGAGCCGACACAACCGCCTCTGGGGAAGAGGAGTGGGGGCCCAGGCTGCCCCAGGCTGAGACCGAAGCCACGGAGCCAACAGTGGCCACAGGATGGGTGCAGGTCTCCACCCGCAATGTGGGAAACAGCTGGCAACGTGAGCCGGGATCCCCAAAGTCAGCACCCAGCCAAGAGGGCTCCAAGCCTACCCCTTCCAGAGTCGGGTCCCAAATAAAGCCAGTTCCTGCCTCTACCCCATGTCCGAGAACTCTGTATTTGAGGAGGTGGTTGGGTGCCCACTACCCAGCACTGCAAGCTGGAGGCCTATGGGTTGGGCTGGGGAGGATGAAGATGCTATTCCAGGGTTGGGGAACAGGAGGGAAGGCAGCCATGTTAGAAGAGTTGGGGGGCTGTCCAGGAAGGATGTGCTGGGAGGCCTCTGCAGCCCCTGCCCACATTCCCCAGCTGTGTTCCAGCCACACTGTCTCCTCAGACCCTCCTGCTTCTGGTGCCGAGCCTGCCACAGGGCCTTTGCACAGGTTGGACTCTAGCCCATGCCTTTTCCCTCCTCTCTTTAAGTCCTCTTTCTATGAGGGCCCTCTAAGAAGCCTCTTCTGACACAAATCCCTGTTGGTGGCTCTCATGGGCAACAGTGCTGGTCTTCAGAGCATCGCAGTTCTAATGATTTCTGGAATCACTCCAATGTGTGGCTCTGCGCCCCGGATGTAAGCGCCAGGAGGCCGAGGGCCCTGTTTTGCTCCGGCATACCATGGTGCCTAGCAGTGGGCTTGGCACCTAGCTGGTATTCCATCACGAATCCTTTTGGTGGGTGGATGTAGGATAGAGGGAGGGGAAGAGGCTGTGTCGGGCGCAGATTGGTTCTGGGCAATAGGAAGGGGAGGTCTGAGGGGCGTGCACGGCCGCGGGAGGGCGAGGGTGCGCGGGTGTGACAGGACCCTGAGGCGCGTGGGCGCTGAAGCCAGAGCTGGCGCCAGCAGAGGGCGCTGCGGGCTCGCCGGACGTGGCGCTCCGGCCCCCCGAGGCAGCGCCCCAGGGGGA